TTACCTCTCATTTTAGGCCTATAATCTACCTGGAATTGATTTTTGTCTCTGGTGTGTGAGGTGGGGCCAAGTTACCTTTTCCAATATGGATACCAAATTGTTCTAGTATTCATTTTTTGAAGAGACTGTTTTTTTACCTGTAGTGCCACCTTTCTTCTGAATCAAGTGTATATGCATGGGTTCGTTTCTGTTCTGTTTGTCTATTCTTGTGCCAATACCATACTGTCTTATTTACTTTGACTTTATGGTATTTGAGGTCTGGGGTAGGGTCCATATCTCCAATAAAAACACTGTCATTTCAGGAGAGTCTGATACAAGTGGTCCATAGATGACATCCTGTTTTAGGGGTAGTAAGAAAGCTCCCAAATTCTGGTTTAATCTTTACTAGCCTGTGTGTATAATTACTATAAAAACACATTTTTTTAATTTATTTATTTATTTATTTATTTATTTATTTATTTATTTATTTATTTATTTATTTATTTATTAATTATTTTTTGTGAGGAAGATCAGCCCTGAGCTAACATCCATGCTAATCCTCCTCTGTTTGCTGAGGAAAACCGGCTCTGAGCTAACATCTATTGCCAATCCTCCTCCTTCCCCGCCGCCCCCCAAAGCCCCAGTAGGTAGTTGTATGTCGTAGTTGCACATCCTTTTAGTTGCTGTATGTGGGATGCGGCCTCAGCATGGCCAGAGAAGCGGTGCGTCAGTGCGTGCCTGGGATCCAAACCCGGGCCGCCAGTAGCGGAGCGCGCGCACTTAACCGCTAAGCCACGGGGCCGGCCCTAAAAACACATTTATTAAATGTTACCATTTTGATATATAGTTGCACACATTATTTATGCACATATAAAAACGCTTTGTCATGTTATTTCCTAATCTTTATGAATATCAGTAATTTAAAAATGGTCCGTTGATTGTATGTACCCTAGTCCATTTTATATATTTGCTGGTATTTCTTAAAAATAATTCTGTAAATATAGTAAAATTTTAATTTTAGAATCTAGATGGTGGATCTGAGGGTGTTTATGTAAATTTTTATAGTATTGTGAAAAATAATGCTTCAAAGAACAACTTATGGTATAAAGTTTTTTTTTTTTTAATTTAGGATAGATTTTGGTAGATTCGATAGACTCTAGATAGAGTTGCAGATGTGGAATTTCTTTTTTTTTTTTTTTTTTGTGAGGAAGATCAGCCCTGAGCTAACATCTGCCAATCCTCTTCTTCTTGCTGAGGAAGAGTGGCCCTGGGCTAACATCCATGCCCATCTTCCTCCACTTTATATGGGATGCCGCCACAGTATGGCTTGACAAGCGGCATATTGGTGCGCGCCCGGGATCCGAACCGGTGAACCCTGGGCCGCCCCAGCGGAGCACACGCACTTAACTGCTTGTGCCACCCGGCCGGCCCCCACATGTGGAATTTCTGAGTCAAAGAGCCTGTGCATACTTTTAGGGCTCTTGAAAACACATTGCCGGGGCCGCCCGGTTGGCGTAGTGGTTAAGTGCATGCATTCCACTTCGGCGGCCCAGGGTTTGAAGGTTTGGATCCTGGGTGCGCACCGATGTGCTGCTTGTCAAGCCATACTGTGGCGGCATCCCATATAAAGTAGAGGAAGATAGGCACGATGTTAGCTCAGGGTTCATCTTCCTCGCCAAAAAGAGGAGGATTGGCAACAGATGTTAGCTCAGGGATTATCTTCCTCACAAAAAGAAAAACAAAAAAACCCCAACACATTGCCAAATTGATTTCCATAAATTTTTCTAATTTACCTTCCCACCAGCAACATAGGAGTGTCAGTTTTATGCCTTTATCATTTTAGTTTATTAACATCAGCAAACATATATATTAGTTTTATCTTTTTATTTTAAATTTGCATTTCTAGTTAGGTTGATTATTTTTCATTTGTTTATTTGATTCTTTGTGAATCTATGTGTGTCCATTTGTCTACTAGCATTTTAGTGATAGTCTAATCTGACAAAAAAGAGTGAGAAAATTCCTCTGGGAGAATAAGTAGATGATGACTAACAGTGGCAAATTCGAAAATGAACAGAAAGGATATAAGCTCTATCAAAAGTTAAAACATGGTATAAGGCTTTAGTAACAGATTGATGGACTAAGTAGTTGAGAATTAGAACTTTTTGAGAATTTACTATAAGATAAAGCAAAAGCTCACCAGAAATCACAAATTAAATGGTGAAGAGAAGGGTGTTGGATTTATAAATTTTCTTCATACCATTCAACATACTATACTGTCAGTGGATTATAGTTAGGTATTAAAAATAAAATGAATATTTCTAAATAGGTGTGGAATTGTCTAAGTTTAGAGATTACAAATATTACTGAGGAAAATGTAACAACACCATGTAAAGATTTAACTTTTATAATTAAATAGCAACTCGTAACCAAAATCGAAAATATAAACAATAGATCATTGCAGCAAAATATCAGAAAAAGATTTAATCTTAGTTGACATTTAAACACTCTTTAGGGAAAGCCTCATTTATCTTTCTTTCTTTTTTTTTGTTTTTTTCTGCAGAAGTCCCTAAATATTTAACTTTCAGCTCACCTGAAACTACTAGAAGTAGACTGCTGGCTGCATTCTTCTTTGTGCACGTATATGTGATTTTTCTCCTCAGCTTTTCCTTATTTCAGAAATAAAGTCCCAAGAAACTTCAGTTAAATATGAGCATGTCTTTAAGTACTTCTATTGAGAGTATCAGCATGAAAGCATTTAGAGCTAAGAATAATCCATTCATGAAAACCAGAATAATATTGGCAGTTAAAAAATTTTTTTTAAAGCTAGGAGAGGTTATGTGTGCCAAACCAGGATGGCTTACTGTTGTCTGATAAAGCAGTTGTGCAATTTGCTACTGTTGTGTTTGCTGTAAGGGAGACCTGAAGATTACTGGGTGAGTGATAAATGATATTCATTTGTTCTCCTATAAAGTATCCTGAGAATATTAACCTGACAGAACCTGTTCCTCGTGTTGGTTAGAGTTTGTATTGGCACATTTTATAGAGGATCTTCATAAAACTAATTTAAATTTACTTTTTTAAAATGACTCTTTTTATTGAAGAATCACATGCATACAGAAAAGTTCACAAATCATAATAAGGTCATTGAATTATCAGAAAGAGAACTCAACTTGTATAACCACCATCTGGGTCATCTGCTCCTGTCCCTTCTCCAATACTACCATCTCCCTGTTCCCCAAAAGTAGCCACTATCTGACTTCTATTGTTGTAATTAGTTTTTCCTGTTAGTGATTTTTTTCCTTTAAAAATCAAGTTTATTGAGGTATAATTTTCACACAATAAAATGCACCCATTTTATAAATGCACACATACACATATATACCTGTTAACATCCACTACAGTCAAGATAGAGACTATTTTTATCGCCTCACATGCTTCTTTACAGTAAATCCTGCCCCCTCACCCCCAGTCTGTGCCCCAGGCAACCACTGATCTGCTTCTGTCACTGTATAGATTAGTTTTGCCTATTTAGAATTTCATATAAATGGAATCACATATTGTAGATACTCTTTTGTGTCTGGCTTCTTTTGTGTGGCCAGACACAAAAATGTTTTGTGAGATTCCTGTTGTTGCATGTATCAGTTCTTCATGCCTTTATGAAAAAATGCTGAGTAAATTCCGTTGTAGGGATATTCCACAGTTTGTTTATCCATTCACCTGTTTGGGTTGATTAATGTTTTGAGCTATTATAAGTAAAGCTTCTATGCTTGTGCAAGTCTTCTTATGGACTTATGCTTTCATTTCTCATGAGTAAATACCCAGAAGTACAATTGCTGGGTCATTTGGTAAATTTTATAAGAAACTGCCAAACTGGTTTCCAAAGGGGTTGGAACATTTTCTATTCCCACCAGCATTATATGAAAGTCCTAGTTGCTTCGCATCCTACCAACACTTTAATTTTTATTTTATTTTTTTTGTTTATTTATATTTTTGTGAGGAATATCTGCCCTGAGCTAACATCCATGCCAATCCTCCTCTTTTTTTACTGGGGAAGACTGGCCCTGAGCTAACATCCGGGCCCATCTTCCTCCACTTTATGTGGGATGCTGCCACAGCATGGCCTGACAAGCGGTATGTCGGTGCGCACCTGGGATCTGAACCCGGGCTGCCAGCAGTGGAGTGCGCACACTTAACCGCTGCGCCACGGGGCCGGCCCCTTTAATTTTAACTTTAAACATTTTAGTGGTATCCACATTTTATTGTGTGTTTAAGTTGCACTTTTGATAACTGTGGTAAAAATGAGGCTATTATCTATCTATTTTTTTTGCTGAGGAAGATTTGCCCTCAGCTAACTTCTGCTGCCAATCTTCCTCTTTTTGTATGTGAGTCACTGCCACAGCATAGCCACTGACAGATGAGTGGTATAGGTCTGTGCCTGGGAACCGAACCCTGGGCCACCGAAGTGGAGCATGCTGAACTTAACCGTTAGGTCATGGAGGCGGGCCCTATCTGTATTTTTATAAGGATCCATAGTATGGTGCAAAATTTGCTAAGGAGAGTCTGTTACTGGCCCAGTGAATGAGGTGGTCTGAATTTTAGTATCCACTTTACCTTTTCTTTTTATAGCCTGAGAACATCCTTTGAGTAGTAGCATATGCTGTTACTTCTGGCAAGGAGTGTAGGGCCAGCACTGAGGCCTTCATACTATCCTAGATAGGATGCTTTTGTTGGGCCAGTCAGTAGTCGGGTTTTTTTCCCTTCAGCCTTGGAATAGGTCGTTTCTCCAAGTGAGCTCTAAGTGGAGTAGTTGGCTACACGCACAGAGTATATATATTTAAGGATCTTTTTGTGTGAGAAAAGATTTCTTTAGAAAATTAGAATCATACTCTGCTAGAGGTGAACATAAAGCTTAGTGCACACTCTCCTGTTTGTCAAGGTAGTGCAAATGTGGCAGTTTCAGCACGTTTTGTAGTCATTTAGTATTGAAAAATTTTATAGCTAATTTCTTTCTTTGATTGCAGTGCCCATATATCTCCCATCAGCATCTTACCAGCCTCTGCGGAGTGAGTAGTATACTTACAGAAGATAATTATAAAAAAATTTTTAAATATTACTAAACTTTAGAAATTAAAATCGTATATTTATTGGGCTCACTTTAGAGGAAGTATTGTACATAAGACCATGAAACTAGTTAGTATATTATGTACTGCAGTAGGAGCAAGTGAAGAAGGAACACATTCCACTAATGTACAAAATAAAGAACTTTCTTCAGATGATTTTTTTTGATCTTCTGAAATGATTGAAAAATGTCAGTAGAGCTTTTTAAAATTGTTTTAAGATGTAGATTTCATGTAAAAAATATGGACAGTACACTACAGTTTCTTTTATTTAGCTGAATCTTGGTAAATTATTTTGCTTTATAAATGTAGCTTTGAAAAGTCTATTAAATGGCTTTCTATGTAGTACTGAGGAATGAATTATTGGGACAACTGATCCTTCCCACCTCAGTAGTAATGGCGACATTATGATTGATTTATATAATACTGATTTGGGAAAATTTAATTTTAAATTTTAAGCCAGTATCATGTATTCCTTTTATGTATTTCATTTTACACTCTAGCACCCATTTAAATACCATAATAATTTGTTTCAGTGGTTGTAGGTTTTAACATTTGTTTATGTGGCCAAATATCCAGTTAGGGTGACTGCTTCTCACTAAAATGTGTTCTGTTTTGTAGCATTTTAGAAAGAACAATTAGAGCAGCTGTGGAACAGCACCTTTTTGATCTGCAGAGCAGCATAGATCACGATCTTAAGAATTTACAACAGCAAAGTCTGGTGTGTAATAATGAAGCAGGAGGTATTAATTGTGATGGGAAAGGATCTAATAACCAGTAAGAAATTTAAAACATTTTACTGTTATTTATTAAGAGTTATACAATTGTTTTGTTATCAAAAAAGTAAATATTTTTACTTAAACAATTGAGTCTCATCTTACTTGGGGATTTCTGAAAAGCGACTTTGTATATACTTGTATATAAATTGCATATACTTAATTAACATTGAAAATCTTATAAATCTTCCATTAAGGTAGTAGACATTAAAGTCCAACACAGCTAGAGTTTCCTCCCTGAACACCAGGTGAAGTAGTGAGCTTACCTTTAGGGACTATGTTGTATGAAAAATAACTTAGAAAAATTAGACCCAAACTCTGTGCAGCACATGGTCATACCATGAGAGACATGCGGTGATCTAGACAGATAGGTGCAGAGACGGCAGATTGACATCACTCCTAGTGCATGTGGTCATTGAGTGAAATGGTGAGCAGAATCACCCTTTGCTATTTGACTTGTTATCCCCTGCTACCAGCCTCTGCCCTCCCTGCATGGTTTTTTTAGGTTAGCTGTTAACAGTTGAATTTGTGTAAGTTAAAAGTACCTCTGTGTACCGTGGGATGTGTGATGTTGCTCTACTCTTCATCTGACTTGTTACCTTTAAATGGACGAAACCCTCATCTCCTTTCCTGTTACCTTAGCCCTCCCGGCACTTTAGGATATATAGGTGCCTTCCTCTGAGACCATGATGCAATCATTTTATAGTTTTTATTTATCAGTTTTTATTTTGGGGACAGATGAGAATGATGTACCCAAGTTTGGATGATTCATAGGAAGGTAAAAAAAATAGATGGTTGGGTAGATTGATTTTTTTTTTTTTTTAAGCATTAGATTTTTTCTTTTTTTTTGTGAGGAAGATTAGCCCTGAGCCAACATCTGTTGCCAATCCTCCTCTTTTTACTGAGGAAGACTGGCCCTAGGCTAACATCTGTGCCCATCTTCCTCTACTTTATATGGGACGCCGCCACAGCATGGCTTGACAAGCGGTGCGTTGGTCCTCGCCTGGGATCTGAACCTGCAAACCCCGGGCTGCCGGAGCAGAGCGTGCAAACTTAACCGATATGCCACTGGGCTGGCCCCAAGCGTTAGACTTTTAAAAGGCTAAATATGTGTAATATACTAGAATAGCTATCAAATATGAAATGAAGCTGAAAAAATTAACAGATGTGAAAACCAATGGTTGGAAGATGTTTATTTTAGGAATAATGTTTATTGTACAGCTGCAGGTGTACCATGTATTCTGCGTGGATGGCATCACCAGTCCCTGCAGCTCTGTGTGATGGCCCTGGTTTGTGTTGTTTGAAGGCATGATTAGAACTGATTCAACTGGATCTATAGGGCGTATTTGGGCTGAATATGAAGGAAAAAAGTGGTATCTAAAAATTGGAAACAGTGGGGAAATGTTTCAAAGGATATGATATAAGCAGATTCCTTGGAGTTTGTCCTTAGCTAGAAATTCTGAAAACCTATGCCCATGCTCAGACAATATTCTTATTTTTATCACTGGGGAAATAGTTCATGTTCTATTAGTGGTAATGTTACCGTCTTTAGAAACAAAAACCTGCAATGTTTTGCGTATTCTAAATTATGTAAGATGGAAAATCTGCAGTAGGAAGGTGTTCCTGTTATACTTGATAAAGTGTTGGACACTATGGTGCCTAGTGCTAGACTTGTATTTTAATCAGAACAAACAGGTCATTATTATGATTGAGAGTGTGCATTTGTAAGGGAAATCATTATTTTGGAACATAAATTATTTTTAAAGCCATTCATTTGCTTTTGAAAATTTTTAAAGGGGATAACAAACAAACAAAAGGGGGGTAGATTACTCACAACATTCTATGGAGAGACAAAAATAAACTCAGTGCATTTAATAATCTAACTTGGCAAGCTAAAAGTGTGGATTTTTGTGAAAAGGACACATTTTCTTTAAAAGTAAAAGTTTCAGATCATTATTGATATTTATTTATTTTAAAGGCATTACATATTCAGCATTTGACCTGATCTGATTTTTTAATCTTTATTACTAGGGTTGATATTGCTGATGATATTATTAATGCCAGTGAAAGTAACGGAGACTGTTCAGAACCTGTGGCCAGCACTAATTTAGACAGTGAAGTTATGCAGCAAGATTTTGTATTTGAGGATGAAGAAAATAACCAGGTAAGAAATGCAAAGAGTTAAATCTCTGTAAGATGTGCCAGATGTACAACTGTCATTGCTTTATGTGTTGCTTTGATACCAGAAGCCATAGTTCAGTAAATTTGCTGACACATATTTGTCTTGATTATAAGTCCCAAGAACATACATTCTCTCAGTAGAGGTCAGGAACCATCATTAGGTAGAGAAGTAGGTATAAAACACCTTATTTTAAAATATTTTCCTGGAAAGAAAGAAATTACAATGTCAGCTGAGGTGGCTGGTGGTATTATGGTTGAATTTTGTTCTTTTTAAAAGCTTTTCTGTATTTCCCAGATTCCTCCTGAAGAACATGGGATCTTTTCATAATCAGAGAAAATCCATGAACTTCGTTTTAGAAATAAGTAAATTATTTTCACTGTCACAATTATTAGTAGTAACATTGTTTTTAAAATAATTAAATTTCAATAAGTGTACAAAGCAGCATCTTTCTAAGACATGTTTCAAAGTTTAGTTTTGATAACACTTTGAAAAATAAGATAATCGATAAGGAAGTTTTCTTCAGCATGTTTTCATTCTAAGCTATAAGCTAAAGTAGGTATAATAAGGCATTTAGAGTCATGCTGAGTGAGATTTGTATTCTGGCTTTGCCTCTTAATAGCAGTGTGACTTTGGCCAAGTTACCTAACTTCTCTGAGCTGCTCTTTGTTTTTCTGTAGGTAAGTGGGGGGTAATACCTGTGTTAGGGGATTATTATAAATATCAAAAGAAGTAAAAGTATAAATTTA